TTCATTCGTTTGTTTTCAGTCTCTCTGTCACCCAGGCTGGAGTGCAATGGCATGATCTTGGCTCACTGCAACCTCTGCTTCCCGGGTTCAAGCGTTTCTCCTGCCTCAGCCTCCCAAGTGGCTGAGACTCCAGGCCCATGCCACCATGACTGGCTAATTGGTTTTTTTTTTTTTTTTTTTTTTTTTTTTTGAGACGGAGTTTTGATCTTGTTACCCAGGCTGGAGTGCAATGGCACGATCTCGGCTCACCGCAACCTCCGCCTCCTGGGCTCAGGCAATTCTCCTGCCTCAGCCTCCTGAGTAGCTGGGATTACAGGCACGTGCCACTATGCCCAGCTAATTTTTTGTATTTTTAGTAGAGATAGGGTTTCACTATGTTGACCAGGATGGTCTCGATCTCTTGACCTCACGATCCACCCACCTCGGCCTCCCAAAGTGCTGGGATTACAGGCTTGAGCCACCGCGCCCGGCTGCTAATTGTTTTGTATTTTGTAGTAGAGATGGGATTTCATCATGTTGGCCAGGCTGGACTCGAACTCCTGACCTCAGGTCATCTACCCACTTCACCCTCCTTCTCCCTTTATTTAGCTGGTGTAAAATAGTTAATTCTTTAACGTCTTCCAAAGGCAGCAGTTGCTGTTTGGTTGCTGGCTTTTGTATTATTGTGAACTCTTGGACGTAAAAGAGATTTGATATATCTGGGTTCGTTGCTGTTTTTATTCTTATTGATGTACAATGTGTCCCCTGTCTGGCCATTGGGACGTTCTTTAAGTCAGCTGAGTCCTTTTGACACAATTCTTGTCATCTTTGATCTTTTTGTTTGCTTTCTGGTATGACATTGCAGATTCACCTTGCGCGTTTCCTGCCCACACATGCAATCAGCCATTTCTTTAAGACATCCTAATATCTTTTTGTGAAAAATGATCTTCCAATGGTATGTTCATTTCTACCTAGTCCTTGTTTCTGGGGCTTTTGGTAGCCAAAGCCGGGACTTTTGGAAAGAGATAAAACACCCATCCTGTTCATATTAATACTCCCAATTCTAATTTAGGATCATGGAGTACTGACTTATTCTAGCTGGGATCTGTATTTTCTTTTCCACACTGAGAATTCTTGTTCTCATATCACTTTTTTTTAAACCTGCCTTCTTTATCAAATGAAGGCAACATGTACAACTTTTCCATTAGAGTTCATTCAGTAAATTGGCACTTAGTGGAATTTTTGTCAACTTGCATCTCACAAAAAACAGAATAATCTGAGGGAGAAAAAAGGAAATTATTTAAAAATTGTTAGGAGGTTCACAGAATGTGTGGGAGGAACAGAGCCAGAAACGAGACCCCAGTCACACCACAAGGCTTCAGGGACGCCCCCACTGCTCCCGCCCAAGGAGGTGCCACCAGAGCTGATCCCCTGAGCCCAGCCCCACTCACTAGCGCTGCTGCCACTGCTGCCCCGGGAGCAGGTCACTTCCACCTCCACATCACCAGAAAGTGGGATCGCTGCAGTGCCTGTGTTCCTTCTTTGCTCCCTCTTAAGCCTCTTGCAAGTGTGTCTCCTTAAGTCCTCAGTTACATATCTGTGCCCTACCTGCAAGGAAGCTGAGAAGGAGAGTTCTGGTTTCTGCCTGAGGTAGGCAGGACTCAAAAGATAGAAAGTCTCCCAATCTAGGATCGCTGTTCAAAAGACACTGGGGTATCCCTAAGCTGAGTAAATGCAGATGCACGGAAATGTGAGTCAAGTGTGGGAGCGTGTCCTCAGAGTGTTTCTGGAAACATTTCACCATGGGCCACTTGTCTGATGCTCTGTGTTTCTCTGACTTCCTCTGCCCTATCCATATCATATGCACATCCAAATTCATCCCTCCTATCTAATACACGTAGTTTGGGCTCAGCCTGCTGCCTGACCCAGGGTGCTGCGTGGGGTATACACAGGTTTCATTAAAATCAAAGTCCACTGACTCACTTGTTTACATGCTGAGCTCAGTCCTCAGCTGAAAGCAATTACCATCTAAGAAGTCATTCCCCAAAAAGTTTAAGTTATTAAGACCATAGATTTACAATTACTATTAATAGTGATATTCTTCATTCTAAGTGTGGTCTCGAGGTATTAACTAATATTATGAGGCCAATGTGATTAATGAGACTTAAATTTTATTTTATTTAATTAATTAATTTATTTTTTTTTTCTGAGACGGAGTTTCGCTTTTGTTACCCATGCTGGAGTGCAATGGTGCGATCTCGGCTCACCGAAACCTCTGCCTCCTGGGTTCAGGCAATTCTTCTGCCTGAGCCTCCTGAGTAGCTGGGATTACAGGCACACGCCACCATGCTCAGCTAATTTTTTGTATTTTTAGTAGAGACGGGGTTTCACCATGTTGACCAGGATGGTCTCGATCTCTTGACCTCGTGATCCACCCGCCTCGGCCTCCCAAAGTCCTGAGATTACAGGCATGAGCCACCGCACCCGGCTGAGACTTAAAATTTAAATGTCCAGTACATGCAGATAAGCCACTACAATCTCTTCAGTGCCTAAAGTCATGCAACACCATTTAGTAATTTACAAAATTTCATTAAGAAATGATAAATGGGCCGGGCGCGGTGGCTCAAGCCTGTAATCCCAGCACTTTGGGAGGCCGAGGTGGGTGGATCACGAGGTCAAGAGATCGAGACCATCCTGGTCAACATGGTGAAACCCCGTCTCTACTAAAAATACAAAAAAATTAGCTGGGCATGGTGGCATGTGCCTGTAATCCCAGCTACTCAGGAGGCTGAGGCAGGAGAATTGCCTGAATCCAGGAGGTGGAGGTCGCAGTGAGCCGAGATGGCGCCATGGCACTCCAGCCTGGGTAAAGAGCGAAACTCCGTCTAAAAAAATAAAAATAAAAATAAAAATAAATGATAAATGAACAGCTTGAGATTGCTAAAGGCAAAAAGCCCTAAACCATGGTGGAATCACTTTTTCTTGCCACAGTAAGAATGGCTGAAAGGATACACAGAAAAGAATATGGCAATACTATAATCCATTCTTCTGTTAGTAAATACTTTTAGAAGATATAGTAAAAAAACAACCTTAAGATTATGGTAGGTTTGGATGAAAGCACAGATGTTTCTAATGTAGCTCCTCTCATGGTGTAATATATGTTAATTTTTCTGATCACGAAATACAAATATTATTTTTTCTGGCCAGGTGCAGTATGCCTCATGCCTGTAGTCCCAAAGGGGAGGCTGAGGCGAGTGTTATCACTTGAGGTCAAGCGTTTGAGACCAGCCTGGCCAACAAGACAAAACTCCATCTCTACCAAAAATACAAAAATTAGCTGAGTGTGGTGGTGGACACCTGTAGTCCCAGCTAAATGGGAGGCTGAGGCAGGAGAATCGTTTGAACCTGGGAGGCAGAGGCTGCAGTGACATCGCATCACTGCAGTCCAGCATGGGCGACAGAGTGAGACTCCATCACACACAGACACACACACAAAACCCCAAAACACAAAAAGCAGCTGGATTGAAATATAATTGACGGCATGTATTCAAAGTGTCCAATCTAGTCAGTTTTGACACATATCTACACCTGTGAAATTATCACCATAATCAAGAACTCTTTCAGCTTTGATAGCCATTAAATACAGTATTGCGACAAACTGACCTTTGAACTAGGTTTTCTAATTGCTTTAATTCAAAGTGCTAAAACACGATTACAAAAATAAGATACAGGAGAGCGTTAACTCCCATCCCTTAAGTGCGGGCTGCACGTGGCGCAGTGTGACAGTAAGGGGGAAGGAAGATTAACTTTAGCCGACCTGACAACCACCACCTCAGCCAGATGTCAAGGTCTAAGTCATGCTGACAGTGCGTACCCTTAATAGAATAGGAGAACACCTCACCTCTTTGGTCTTCCTCCTAATAACACATACCCCGTGCATTACCATGAGAAAAACATCAGACAAAGCCCCACAGTGAGACATCCTACAAAATACCTGACCAATAACTCCTCAAAACTGTCAAGATCATCAAAACAAGGAAAGTCCGAGAAACCTTTACTGTCCAGAGGAGGCTAAATACAATGTCATTTCCTGGGAGAAAACAGAAGACATTAGGTAAACAATAAGAAAATCTGAACCAACAATACAGATTTCCATCAGACGAGAGGAAGGAGGGAATGAAAGCCATCACTTTGCCTGCACTAAAACTAGCAATATTTGACTGGACCCAAAAGGCTTTATACTGTTATTAAATAAAATGTGGAAAAAGCATTTCCTCTTTTTTATGCCTTCCAAGTTTCTATTTATGATAATACATGCAGATCATTTTAAAATAACAATATATAGTTTAAAATAACTGTGTATATGGTATACACTATAAATGTTTTATTGATGGAGGGCACTGCTCTAATTAGAAAGAGGCAGTGACGTCAGTATTTTAAGTTCAACCAGGCTAGGCACGGTGGCTCATGCCTGTAATCCCAGCACTTTGGCAAGCTGAGGTGGGCAAATCACTCAAGGTCAGCAGTTCAAGACCAGCCTGGCCAACATGGTGAAATATCTCTACTAAAACTACAAAAATTAACCAGGCATGGTGGTGGGCGCCTGTAATCCCAGCTACTCAGGAGGCTGAGGCAGGAGAATTGCCTGAACCCAGGAGGCGGAGGTTGCGGTGAGCCGAGATCGCGCCATTGCACTCCAGCCTGGGTAACAAGAGCGAAACTCCGTCTCAAAAAAAAAAAAAAAGAATCACTTGAACCCGGGAGGCTGAGGTTGCAGTGGGCCGTCACTGCACTCCAGCCTGGGCAACAGAGTGAGATTCCGTCTCAAAAATTAAAACAAAACAAAACAAAACAAAAGCACAGGAACCCCCAGAGGAGATAGCAGTTCAGTCCAGCTGAGGCCTGTCCACTGAATCCACACCAACCAGCACTAAGTCCGTGACCCTGGGGTACTGGGACGTCTGTGGGCTGGCCCAGACCATCCACCTGCTCCTGGAATACACAGACTTAAGAAGTACACAATGGGGGGACACGGTGGGGAGACAGAAGAGGAGAATATTCCCGTGGATATTTTGGAGAACCAGGCTATGGACATCTCCAATCAGCTGGCCAGAGTCTGCTACAGCCCTGACTCTGAGAAACTGAAGCCAGAATACTTGGAGGGACTTCCTGCAATGATGCAGCACTTCTCACAGTGCCTGGGGAAGGGGCCATGGTTTGTTGGAGACAAGATCACCTTCATAGATTTCCTTGCCTATGATGTCCTTGACCTCTGCTGTATATTTGAGCCCAAGTGCTTGGACACCTTCCCAAACCCAAAGGACTTCATCTCCCAATTTGATTTGAAGGCTTGGAGATGTCTGCCTACATGAAGTCCAGCCACTTCCTCCCAAGACCTCTGTACACAGGAGTGGTTGTCTGGGACCACAAGCAGTGCCTTGAAAGCCAAGGGGTGGGATTGAGGAGCCCATACTCAGCCCAGGCTGTGGTGAGCAGGTGGATTCTGCACGCCGGCACCTGCCTCCTTGTTCCTTTCTCCTGTTTATTCCCTTCTTTATCCCCAAGATTTTATTGGCCCTCTTCACTTCCCCTAAACCCCTGTCCCACGCAGGCCATTTAAAGCCTCAGCTACTCACTTTCCCTCATGAGTGTCCCCCTCCCAATATTACCCTTCCCTGCACTAAAGCCAGCCTCACCTTCCTTCCTGTTAGTGGTTGTGTCTGCTTCATGGCAGGCCCCTCACCTATGGAGCTCAGCCCCGAGCTGTCCCAGTGCTGCATGAAAGAGCAGCATTGACTGGTTTACAGGCCCTGCTCCTGCAGCATGGCCCCTGCCTTAGGTCTACCTGATCAGGTCAAGCCTCAACCACACACCAAAAAAAAAAAAAAAAAAAAAAAAACAATCAGATCCGGGTTATCTCGTATCTTGGCCACAGATCTCTGGCAGATTCCTCAAGAATGCCATGCCCTATCCATTTCAAGAATTCTAGGGAAAAAAACAATTCATGTCTCCTGTCCCAGTCTCTGAGTATCTGGGCGCTCCACAGTGGAAATGCACTAACAAAGTCCATGGTCCTTACTGCCTGTCAAAAGTAAGTACCCACAGAGGGCAGAACAGACACGACTTCCCCTTACCTCACAGGCGGTAACAGGCAAGATACCACCTGACACCTGTCTCCTTGTCTTATAAGGACTACTTTACCCTTTGTCCCAGAAGAGAGTCCTTTGTACATAACCACGGCCTTTGCATCTGCCCCTAACAGCGTGTGACCCTGTGGCCATGTTTCAGCTGTGCAATAAATCAGGAGTTGCAAGGTGCCTTCCAGTTCCCTCTATCCATTCTATGTCCGTGACTTCAAAAGCACTGCAAGACTCCTTTTTAAAATATTTTTTTGCCTGCTTGTATGAGAGTGGACCCTTCGGCCTCTCCAGAACTTAGGAACTCATTACTTCCTCATCTGTGCCTCCTAAAGTAAGAGCTTTATCAGTTTGCCACAACTGAAACCAGAGATCAGGGCATCTGATGTCCTGGCTCAGACTTCAGCTGCTGGGCTCTGATTTGCAATCGAAAGCAGACAGGCAGGTAGGAGGACCTTCGCACCTGTTGCACCTGTCGGCTGTCTGCACCTGAGGCTGGTGGCAAGGTGGGCAGGGCCACATTCCCCAGAGGTCAAGGCTGAGTCACCAAGGCAGAAACCAGGAGATGAGCTTCTCTCAGTTCCCGGGAGGTGGCTGAGCCACCAGGGAGCAGAGTGGAGCCAGCCTAGGGTGAGGCCGCCTGGCAGCCCTGCCTCTCAGTACATTTCCACGTCATCTCTCAGGCTTCCCCGGTTCTCAGCTAACCCCGACCGTCTCTGCAATGACCCCATTTGGGTAATGAATGTGTAAATAGAAACTACTGCACTTTCATCAGCCCAAAACTCCTAACTCATCATCAACAGGAATGTGAGTGACGGGTAAGAGACATGAGACCTGAGCAGCTGGATGGGTACTGGCTGCCAGGCTGCCCCCAACCCCGACCCCTGCCCGTCTTCCATGACTGATGTACACTGAATAAAGGAAGAACTCCCACCAAGCTGGGTTTGCATCTCTGCTCCACCCCTTAACGATCCATGGAAGACCTCAGCATTTTCTGGAAGAGGGGAATGCCTCAAAAGGTTAAGCCTAAATGCAGCTGGGTGCAGTGGCTCACACCTGTAATCCCAGCACTTTGGGAGGCCAAGGTGAGTGGATCATGAGGTCAGAAGTTCGAGACCAGCCTGGCCAACATCGTGAAACTGTCTCTACTAAAAAAACAAAAACTAGCCAAGCATGGTGGCGCACGCCTGTAGTCCCAGCTAGTGGGAGGCCGAGACAAAATTGCTTGAACCTGGGAGGCAGGGTTCTTAATCAGCCGAGATCACGCCCCTGCACTCCAGCCTGGGCAACAGAGTGAGACTCTTGTCACTCTGACAAAAATGCGGTACTGCCTTGGAGGAAGCTAGTACGTGGCAGGCACTAAATTATCAATGAAGCTGGTCTGTTAGCTTTGAAATTAGAATGACCCTGAGATCAGTTTCCAGCTGATACCGCAAAGGGTCGGGTGACAATACTCTTCAGAGCCCTCTGGCAGAAACTGGTTTTGAAATACAAAAAAGTTCCCTCTTCTTCAGGGCTTTCCTGGCAGCAACTTCAGTGGCCAACGCAGGCAGGAGGGAGAGGCTGATGGGGAAGTGGCGATTGTTACAAAGAACCAGCCTGTTCACCTGGCTCACAAGATGCTTCCTTGTTCATAAAAAGCTCCAGTACCTAGAGAAGATTCATCGCATAGGTACACACATGTACATCTACACACACGTATACACATTACCTTGATAACTACTCCATATATTTAAACTGGCATTAAACTGGGGTAGGGACTGAGATTTACCCCTAAATTGACCCTCTTTCCTGCAGCTGGGCATTAAAAATATCAGCTCAGTGGACAAAACTGTCCCCAGGCAGAAAGCCCTCTAAGCAGTTGGCAGGGCAACAAACTAACCACCCCGATCAATGAGAGGATGGCCCCCCTAGTGGCAGATTATTTAAGCAAATGGAAGCTGTAAACATTTCTCTGAAAATTCAGCCAAAAGCCCTACTCATTGTTTCCATTAGCATTAAGAAATCTCATATTAGGCTGGGTACAGTGGCTCACACCTGTAATCCCAGCACTTTGGGAGGCCAAGGCAAGCGGATCATGAGGTCAAAAGATCCAGACCATCCTGGCCAATATGGTGAAACCCCACCTCTACTAAAAATACAAAAATTAGCTGGGCATAGTGGCATGTGCCTGCAGTCCCAGCTACTCGGGAGGCTGAGGCAGGAGAAACGCTTGAACCCGGAGGCAGAGGTGGCAGTGAGCCAAGATTGTGCCAGTGCACTCCAGCCTGGGCGACAGAGCAAGACTCCATCTAAAAAAAAAAAAAAAAGTCTCATAAGTATCAGTAGCCTAAATTTTGCCAGAAAAATGTTCTACACAGACATTCCCTCTTACTTTGTTTTCTAAATGCCAAATGGAACTGGAGGCCTAGAGTCAAGCCCTGGGTAGACATATTTCTGCCTTTGAGGTACAGCTGGGGTCTTTTGCGGAAGGAAGGTATCACACTCCTGGAGGCAGGGGGCAGAACCACCACACAGATCAATCTCGCGGTCAATGAAACAAGCAGTCTCGGTGGAAGTTAAAGTATTTATTGATGTGTTTAAACTCTGTACATTCTCCACAGATCATATTAAGGAGTTTGTAGGTGAAGTTTAATCTGTGCATAGTGGGTAGAGACATGAATAGGGTCAAAGGGGAGGAAAAAGAAAAAAAAAAGTCACAGGAAAAAAAAAAAAAGATACACCACAGGTTACCAGAACCTTCAGATTTAAAATAACAAGAAAGAAAAAGCAGAAGCTGTGAGCATCAACATCAACTGTACAAGCATTACAAAGACTCATGTGAAGAAAACACAATTGTTCAAAGCTTTCCGCAGTGTTCACAGACCCAGTTTCAGGGACAGCCTGGACTATTCACCTTTCACGCAAACAAACCTCCCCATGTTCTCTCGTGGGCCATCAGCCGCCTCCTTGGTGTGGTCTCTGAGCGAACGTCACAAGGCTGGTGACAGGAGGGGGTGCAGGTGAAGGGACAAAGCAGAGGCCAAGGGTAAGTGCCTTTGGAGAGAAAGGTCCAGAGAGGAGGAGCCTGCACATCTGGACATAGGTGGAAGGGGAAGTGAAGAGTAATAAGCTATGGCAGGTAAACAACAGACAGTGAAGAATGTCAAATACAAACTACAGGCTAATCTCCGAGGAAGCACTGGATTCGGAGGGAAAGCAGCAGCAGACACCCTCATCTGTATACACTAAGCTCTCTGGAAGACACTGGAATGACATGCCTTTAACGTCCTTGGTGACGGGACTTGTATGGGAACACAAAGGTATCCAGCCGTGGGAACACTGGACTTCAAGAAACTGGTCCTTTCACATCATTTTGTGAGGGTATTGTCACGTGCTTCCGTGCTCACTGTAGTTCCCTATTCCACCTCATTTCTCGGCAACTTCCTAAAAGCTTGCTTAAAAAGGGAATACTGCCTTCTTTTCTCTTTAAATAAAAGCCAGGACAAGGAATAAGCCTTAAGAGTTGACTTACACAACATAACTGGAACAACAGCCTGCATATAAGTCTATTATTGAAAATCAACATTTCCCATTTATTATACATTGAGAGCATGTGTCAGACAATACAATGGAAGTGAGATTTCTGATTAATTTAAAAAAGAAAACTACATCAAATATCTGCAATAGATCATTTTTTTCATTTAAGGTTTATATATCATATATTGTTATATTAACATTTTTCACCCATTTAAAAGAATGGAAATTGCAGCTCTACAGTAGTACTTTATATAGTCCTACAGTCGAAGAGGTCAGGAGGTCAGATGTAGCCCCTGGCAGCAGCTGCTGGTCGGCATTCGATCGGAATTGTGGGATCTTCCGGCCCGCCTGCACCCCTCCGCCAGGATTGCCGCGCTCCCTGCCACCTAAATCTGCATCTGCTCCAGATATTTGTAGGTGGGGTTCTCATAGCCATGGTTCTGCATCTTGTTCAGGTGACGCTCTTCTGGGGTGAGCATTGGATCAACCTGGAAGAACAAAACCTGAGGGTTACTGTGGTGTCTGGGAAGAGACCTGCACTGGGTGCTGGGAGACCCAAGCCATTTGCTGCACAATTCCCTGAGGACCAACTGCAGCCAGCAATCCGCTCCCATCAGACAGACCAAACGAGAACCGGTGGTGAAACACAGGAACAGAAAGAAAACAAGGGGATCAAAGACACAATGCTTTTGAAACTAGAGCCCTGAAAGCTTAGC